AAGGGGGTAGGGAAAGTTTGCTCCTAGTTCCTGCCACTGCTCTTGAATTTGTCTCTTTTTGGACCAAGTGTAAAGTGCTCACAAATCATTCCTCTCTCATTAATTCAACAAGGTAAGTAGATGCATCAGACCAGATTTGGTTTACTGTACACTATTTGAAGAACTTGGCTGGCTGACATTTTTGAAGTGCACGCTGTGCTAATCGGATCTCACTGAATGAGCAAATTCTGTCCTTTGGTGACTTCATTCTACGATGAAGGTTGTAGTAAAGAATAGCCATAAAAATCCCTCTTATGTCCACACCTCCCAAAGGGGAGCAAGCACCTCACTCTCTCCTGTGGGGTCTGGCAATCCCCCAGCACACTGCGACTCTGTTCTCATACTTTGCTGAGAAGAAGGATTACTATTAGCTAAGGGGGTAGTGGAAAGTTGTAAGAGCAGCATGGCTTGCACCTTGCCCCCCAAAACGCTACAACAGATGATAAAATGGTCCCAGCTTTAGGGAAATGTAGGTGAAACATGACAAGGTTCGAAAGCATACTGGCCTGAAAACAAGGCTGTTACCATGCAATAGCAGCATCACACTATGCATTCCTGTAGTTCTGCGTATCACTCCTTAACACATACTAACACACACGTGCTCCTAGCAACTGAAACTACAACAAAGTACAGCCTATGCTCTAAACCACTGCCAACAAGCCACCCACAAAACAGAACTCCTACCAGACTGTTACACTAGTGCAAGGACCAGCACTTCACATCATACTAACTGCTGCTAAGACTCCAAGGTAGCTACTGAGCCTTTTACCTTGTGAACTTTTTCTTAAGTTCTAATCACTTCAAGACCATTGAAATATAACCTTACAAAATGAACAAGCTTAATTACATCACAAAAACAAGTCAACACTGCTCTGCTTTTAATTGAATTTATTTAAATAGGATAAGGCTACTGAAAAGACAACTCTTTACATACAAAATGTACATTACGTTAAAGTTTGCTGTACTCAAGTACAAAAACTGCACAAGTGTTTAGTAAAAGGGAAACAGCACACAATATTTCAAAACACCCATTCTTACCATTTTACAGCATTCGAGAAGTGCCTTTTATGTCATAACAGTGAATGGAGAACTTCTGTCAGTAATGAATTAAGCTACAGTTTTTGGTTTCCATATTAATCAATGTTAAAAATGTAAACAAGCTTTCAGATCACTACTGACAACTTCTTTTAGTGGTTTAACTAAGTGGATTCAGAATTTCATTCTTTCTTTTTGTTATACTAAGTCTGGAAGTGTTGTTATTATTTACCATCCATATCTAAAATGAAACTGGTGTCACCCGAGCCACTGAGATTTAATAAACACGTTTCCATCAACTTAATTGGATTTCTGCCTTACAAGGCACTACCAATAATCCAGGTGAAACACCACATTTCACAGAAAAGCAACATCTATCTTAAATTACCAAAGGAAGGGGAAATAGGTTGGGGTTTGTTTGAGTGCAACTACATACACTAATGCTCTCAAGGTACTTCTTTGTTGTCCTGTCCAACTGTAAGTTGAGAAAGCGCTGGCCTGCATTCCACAGGTTTTCCCCATATTTTATAAGCATGATTGTAACCAGGAAAGCAAGCAAATTTGTTGTATCGGCACATTTTTACACTTATGCATGTATAAAATATGCCTGTGTATTTAAGAGAACGTGGCACTAATCCATTCACTACTTCCTCTCAGAGATTCCTATCAGTCTAGTAACATACTTCCATCTGTGCATTTCTTACTTCCTACGTCAATAAGAGAAACTTCAATTTGAAGTAATGCTGTTAAAATAGCTCATCTCTTATTACCAACCTAACTTGCACTGCAAATTCTACACTCCTGCCTGTTCTGTGCAACGAAAAGGAAAAAAAAATTGTCTCAGACTATCTTAACAACAGAATGGTCAGTTTTCTCATCTAAATTAATTACCTTTTTAAAGTGAAGAAGGCTCTTGGGATCACTCTGAATCTCAATTGCTATTTTAACTATTTAACCAGAAGTGGAATAAAACTGAATCTTACTGAAACAAAAATACATTTATATGTGTGAATTGTAGTGACATGCAGGAGATGAACTATAATAATCTTGAAAACTAGAAGTGGGGAGTTTAGTATATTGTAATATTACCAGCTTTTAAAGAAGTCATGAGCTACTTGGGGTATAAGAGTAGACACTTTTAAGGTGACTGGTGATAATAACTCCAGCTTTACAACAGGGAACTTTTAAACTTGTTAAAACTTCACAGCAATCTGAATCCCTGTAAGGTTTAAAAAGAATTGTACTTAAACTGTTTAAATATGACTTATCTGTTTGAAAATACGGAAGTAACATTTATGTTTCAAGCACCATTAGCTACTTCATGGCCATGTAACGTGCTGGATTTTCTTCTTTGCTTCTGTAGGCTTTAGATCATTCTGGAATACAAGAAAATATATAAGTATTCTTAGATATACTGTGCAAGTAGAAGTTAGTAGTTAACCTGCCATATTCAAATCTAGTAGTGACTATTGCTGTACCCAGCTATACGCTACTACAACAGTTTTCTATTGCCACCTTGTGGAGAAAGTTAAATATCACAGAACTTCTCTAGAGAAGATAAAAATAAAGCCAATGAATTTAACTACCTGAAAATCATGTATGTCTTTTGTTTTTTCTTAATTCTACAACTAGTTCTGCAAAAATATCCTTCAGTTATGCATCTTAGAAACCAATACATATTGGAGTTTCAAAACAGGCTTCTAAAGTTATTTCAGATTGCCTTCTTAAAAGGCTTGTTAAAATGGGATTGTATAAGGGAAAAAAACAAGCATAAAACTAGGAAACCAATTTACTTTTGTCAAATAGTAAAAAAGTAGAAAAAGAGAAGGAAAAGTTGGTCTTCCTTTGTAATGACCTGTATAAAAAAACTGAAATAATTGCCAAAGCCTCAGTTGAACTCATCTTTCAAACCCCGCCCCAAGAAACCAGGAAACAAATCAAGCAAGCCCAAAGTAAAACAATAGGAGACTGAAGTGGTGAAATAATTACTTATCACCATCTAAAACAAAAACCAAAATCTGAGAAATTAGAGCTTTAATAGTTCACACAGAGTAAAGACAGGTATATGAGTTTGCAAGAACATTCTGCAACACATTGGTTTGGGGACCACAATCGAGAGATCTCTCCTCTCCTTAAGAGTTTCAGCATTAATTTATTTACAGCAATCCTGTGGATTGCAACCACTGCAAGGTTTAAGGGAATTAGACTCAAAGATCAGAGGGATAGTTCTGCGCTATTCAGTACGAGAACTTCAGTTTTTCTTGAAAGTCAAAGAACAGTCACTTGCTTGAAAAGGCAATTGTCATTACCATTATTATACTAAAAATATATCAGGCTTTACACTCTACAGCCATCTGCCAAGTATACTGATTCCCCCTGGCTGCATCACTTATTGTTCAATACCACATTCTTTCATTTCAGACAGTAAAGTAACATCCACACAACACACTTGCCTAACTTCAAACGTGTCTGACAGACATTAACCAAGGCATGACTGAACTTACCAGTATTAACTTGAACAACACAAACTGTGGCTAAGGTAGAAGACCTTAAGGTCATAGTTTCTGAGTGCGGTTATACAGTGTCACTTAAAAGTGTTAATCATTGTGTCCACAAAACATTTAAATTAAATATAAAGAAGCTATGAGGTGTATACTAAAAAAGTTTCAAAAGCTCTGTAGGTTCAGATCTGACCAATACTTGGAAGAGCTCTAAATACTAAAATAATTTAATAATACTGGTAGTAGGAAACACACCTCTCCAGCATAAATTTGATTCAGGGTCTCAGCCATGATTCTTGTAAAAGTTGCTAACATCGTTTTTCAGAAGAGCCACATGTTTAGGTGCTCATGTCTAACAGAAGTCTGATAGAACCCACCAATCTACACAGCAAGGACATTATCTGCATTCTTTCATGAAAGGATATTTAACAAAGAGATTAACAGAAAGCATTTCATGAGGCAATATTGAGAAAATAGAAGTTAGGTCTGGTGTACTGGAAAAATTTTAATCAATGTAATTGCAAACTGCATATCTAAAGCTCCCCCTGCAGTTCAACTGAGAACATATATTTCTATTTCTTCCTTTGAAACCCACACTTACTCCAGATATTCCCATATCCCAGTGGAAATGTGAAAATTCCTTAATTTGTATCATGAAGGGACACAAACAAATATAAGACTTATCCCTACTTTGTGGTATGTTTTAAAGAGATGGCCCATTGCTCCTTGCTCACTGACAAGCCCTTAAAGACTAATCACACCTTTGTCAAAAATAACCACTGTTCTATCTTTCTCCCCAACTGGCAGCTACATTCGGCACCATTACCTACACGAAAATTCCTTAATTTGTATCATGAAGGGACACAAACAAATATAAGACTTATCCCTACTTTGTGGTATGTTTTAAAGAGATGGCCCATTGCTCCTTGCTCACTGACAAGCCCTTAAAGACTAATCACACCTTTGTCAAAAATAACCACTGTTCTATCTTTCTCCCCAACTGGCAGCTACATTTGGCACCATTACCTACAGTTTCAAAGGTATGCCCTGCTGAATTAATGTATCCTGCCTTAGCTCTTCTCTCATCACTTCAGCTCATCAGCCTCATTCTGCCCCCATCTGTAGTGTAGTTCTTTACAGAAAATTTGTTTGCAGCTGAATCTAACTCACAGAAAGAAGGTAACAATTTACCTTTATGGTTAACAGCTCAGCCATCAATCATCTACTTGCTAACAGCACCCTTCTGATCAAGACCTCAGCATAACTTTGTCACCATTTTATAGAAGCCCAGGTACCTGATTAAGATCACCATGGCTCCAAATGAGCACTTGACCTTTGGCCTCTCATTTCAACTAGTATGGTTTGTTGTTATGGCTTCTCATTAGGCCCACAATCTAGGCAGCTCTCCAGATTTTTCACATCCAGTTCCTTCCTCAAGCTTGCCAATTCCTATGTGAGATCTAAAACAGATGGTCGTCTTCCTCTAAGGATATATTCTACAGCTCTCAGCATCTCACTTCAGTTCCCGCAACATTTCTTCTTTCACTTTGACAAATGAAAGCTTGTCCTACTCAGCCATTCAAGTGTGATTGTTACAAATGCTATCATTCCATTTTTTTCTTCCCTACTACAGAAAACAGACCACTTGTCCTCCCTTTAAAGCTGTTCGTGTTGTTCTATAATAACTGTTCTCTCTCTCAGACCTACCAGTAGGATTACTTTGTTTGTGTTTTATTTGACTGCTTCCAGCACCACCTTAAGCATTACCTACTTAGTAATTTTAAAATTACATGCACATTTTCTACAAAGCTGCCTCTCTCATACAGAAGTTTCCCATGGACAAATAGAAAGTACTTAATTTCTTTCCTTCTAATCTTTCCCAAACCGGCTACTATTTTGCCTCTTTCTAAATAAAGACTCTACGATTACTCCAAAAGAAAATAATCCTGAAAACTCTTACAAGGGTCTACCTTTGGCTCTTGCAACTTTCACTCAAAAAAACCCCCAAAAACCCCAAACTGAAAAACAAGATACTGAACATACATACCGGCAAATCAGATTCCTCTTTTGGAACAGCTCTCTTTAACTTCACAACAGTAGTTCCTGCGACTGGAGACAAAGGGTACACCTTCAGACTAGCCAACACACTGCTGTTAGTCTTTGAAATATTGTTCTGCTTAGCCTCACTATTCCTCATTCCCAGCTTAGCGTCCTCTGATAAACTGGAGGCTGAAATGTATGTTGAGGCATTTGAAGGAACTGATAATCTTCTAACAGTGTTGGTGGTGCTTCCAGCTGGAGGAGGTTTTAGGCGATCAGCAGCTCCGTTCTCCGTCTTCCTCACCTTTATGCTCGTACTTGTTGAATTGCCATCAAATACAATTAATGGCCGTTTCCTTAAACCTTCCACCGTTGTAACACTGAAAATACAAATTGTAAAATTCTCAGACACACAAGCTAGATGGTCCAAAAATAGCATATCCAAGATGTGGGTAGTGAAAACTAATTTAATCTTGCCTAAAGTAAAAATATATCCCAAAACACTAACCTTAAGCTCTTAGTTGCTTCAAACTTAGGCAACAGAAATTGCTTCCACAATAGAAAGGGGGGAGGGGGGCAGGGGGTTGCGTGAGGAACAGCGTTCCTCAGCAAAGAGGGTCATGCGAGGAACTTTCTAGCAGACAATTACAGTTGTACGACCAAAGACCGTATGCTTATACCACTGCAGCTAATACAGAGTAACTAAAGAGATAGTAGCTGTTAAGTATTTCAAAAGGTGAATATTTGAGAAAATGTGTGCCACCTTACCTACAAGAATAGCATCTAATATTCTGATGCTTCTCAATCTCCCTGTTTCCACTCTTATTCAAAATCATAATGTTAAGTCTAAAAGACTGTTAGACAAGGAATGAAAACATTAAGCAAAAAAGCATATGTTTTTGAAATAAGCTGTCTTTGAACTGGAATCCACAGCTGATTTAATGACTTTTTTTTTTTAATAGTTTGTGCCTTTAAGCCTATGTGTAATCAGAGCTGTCCAATTTAGTAGCATCTGATTTATGAAAAAGGAATATTATCAAGCTAATACCAAAACAGTAGTATCAGAAAACATCCCGACTGCCAAAAAATAAAGCATAAAGTTATCACAGCTCATTCTACATGAATTTAGTTTTTTTTAAAAAAGCATTGCTCAAGAATGACAAAGTGTTTGGAAAGCGCAGATTTAACAAATAAAAAACCAAACCACCATTAAGTTATGTAATATTCCTATTTAGAAACTTCAGTTTTCAGCATGCACTCACTGTTTAATCATTTCATATTAAAGAGGCATAAAAGTTGAACAATAGTGTTTTCAACAATGAAATACATTAATTTGTAATTAATGAATTTGACAATAGTGATGTTAGACACCTCAACAGACTTTAAAATAAGCCACAAGCAGAGACTCCATTCGTTTGACTTGGAACAACATTAGATTAGTAGCTGCTGATAAATCTCACATATTAAGAAATCACACACTGCTTGCAAAATTTCTGTCCAGACCAGGGTTTTCTTCAAAAAAACAAAAGGAGTCAGAATTTAAGAGCTCATAGAGCAAGACAAATTTCAGCTCTTATTCAGATTTGCTTCTACATTATTACTATCCATTCACAACAACAAATGTCACACAATCCTCCTCTTTTTCTATTTATCAGATTCCTGGAACTGATAGAGACAAAGAGACCTTCAATTCGTTTGGGACCTGTTTATCAAGAGATCAGACACAACTCTTTGGCTTATGTCTACAGTAGATGCCATTTCTAGAAGAGCTTCTACACAATGAGATTAGCTTCCAAGACCAGAAGTGTTCAGCCAAACATGTTGTTTCATTTAAATACTACTGAACCAACAGTAGCATTTAACACATTCATTAAATTAAGGAGTATAATTTCACTTGAAAAGTCTAAAAAGCTGATGTACACTTCAAAAATAAAACATGACACTTTTTGCTCACTTCAGCTTTGTCCAAGAATTTATTCAACACTCCTGACAAGGAACACATTCCCCAGCAGCCTTTCTGGAAAGCTAGTTTACAAACTATGTGAAAGAAAAAAAAATTATACCTTTTTTCAGTCACCTTACTTAACATAAAAACACTACTTTTCCCTCGAAGTGTTCAAGACCAGGTTGGATGGGGCTTTGGGCAACCTGGTCTAGTGGAGGGCGTCCCTGACCGTGGCAGGGGGGTTGGAACTAGATGATCTATGAGGTCTCTTCCAACCCAAACCATTCTATGATTCTATAGAAAGAAGCACTATAAGCTAGGTATCATTAATAACATTTGGATGACAAAAAAATATTATCTTTCCTTTTTTCCAAGTATTACAGCAGTAGAATCTAACACTTCTGACACAGGAGACCTGACATTCTCTGTAAACTGTAACAATGTCCAAAAGCTGTACAAGTTTCATTAATTAGGCAAAGATTAAACTAAATGCATTGTCCTAAATTCTACAAGTCTAGCCCAATAAAAGCTAAATTACCTTTTATTCTCACTTTTCAACTCATTTTGCTGTCTTTTCTTTTCCATCATTTGCCCCCATCTACTTTTTGGTAAGTCACGCTGAGGCAGGGGAATGGCATGTTGAATATAGAGATCAGTGAGACCATCTTTGTCCATCTTTACATTATTTTCGACTAGTATATTCTTCTGTGGGGAACAGAAAAAAAAAAGTTGCTATTATTATGACAAATTCAGAGCACAAGCATCTTCATGGCATAATTTCTTTTTTCAAAAGCCACTTTAAGGTAGTGTATTGGGCATAAACACTAGGGTTTCAAAAACAAGAGGCTGCAGGGGTGACTGCTGTGGAGAGGCCATGAACTGCCCTGTGGCAATGGCAGTCTGGTCTGCCGGTCTGCTTTCCTACTGTCAACTTCCCTTGTTTTCCCTGTGGATTACACTCAGTCCTCCCTTTCATGAGGCAATAGATAATGCAGGATGTTGGGGTCAGTGCATACTGGTTTATTTTTCCACTGCCTACAAGCGCATCTCTTCACATATCTCCTCATGAGCCTCTTCCCGTGTGTCCTTTTGTGTCTCCTGCTCGTGGTGGCTGCTGCTCTTTATTAAGTGCATTTGAGCACAGGTACCATGAGCCCTTCTGCTTGAAATTTTGGGGTGTGATGCGTTGTTTTCATCAGTGCCAGACACAGCTGGATTCAGCTGCGACCAGTACCGGGCAGTTCATTATCTTTGCCCACACAGGTCAATCCTGCAGCCCCTTCCTATTCCAAAGCCTGTAATCTTCCCAATAAAAATAGTAGCCAAACAAAAGGAAAAAGTTATGATAGACATACTGTTGATGACTGATGTTTTCATGCACTCTTCAACATGCTTCCCTGAATCCAACACCACCACCAGAGCTCTCCTCCACACTTCTAAAAAACCAGCAACTAGAACATAACGCAGTTCAAACTTACACATGTAGAGCCACGCTTTCGTCTTCAGTTCCCAAAGAATAAGTCGCAAAGGGAGATTTCTATTAACTGTCGATTATTACAGAACACCAGCTGTCTTTCTAATCACGTATAGGGTTGTGAAAACAAAACTTCTTGGTATCTCCTGCCAAATGTATTAAAAGAGAAAAAAAACCCCACTAACTTCCTACAAACTAGAGGTCACTGAAAGCAGGCCAAGTGTCTGCCACTACTATTTTTGGCAACACTTCATGACTCCTGATGTGGGCTTAAAACCAGTACAGTTTTGTCCACATAAACTACATGGACAAGAGCATACAAAATTTCAGTAAGTTCATACAAAACCCTAAAAGTTTGATTACTATTGTTTCACATACCAAAAATTTTCAGGTACGGCAGTAACAAGGATTCCAAATCACACCCACTGAAGCTTCATACAATCCAAACCC